ACTTTTCTCCACTTTCCTTGCTTGCGCATGTTCATCACTATTAAACGGTTTGCATCACAGTGCTATGCTGACAGGGGTACATATCTTTCCTGTAATCGCTACCCTTTCAGAGACTCTGCGCTACGCACCGGCTGTTGCCTTTTCCCTGGTCTTGGCGCCGCCATGCAATGCAGCATGGATACGTATATACAGGTAACATAGATTTTCAATGCTCACCTCTATTTCAGAGCCACTGATATCTGCCGCCAACCGCCTTGTTTCCTCTCACTACCACAGAGCCTCCTGTCACGTACTGCCGCCGCCATGTGATCTTGCATTGATACGTAGTTACAGGTAACATAGATTTTCTATGCTCACCTCTATTTCAGAGCCACTGATATCTGCCGCCCAGCGCCTTGTAACCTCTCACTGCCACAGACCCTCCTCCCAAGTCATGCCGCCGCCATGTGATGTTGCATTCATACGTAGTTACAGGTAACATTGATTTTCCATGCTCATCGCTCTTGCACAGCCACTGATATGCGTCATCCTCTGCGTTGTTCCCTCGCGCTGCCACAGAGCATCCCCCAAGTCATGCCGCCGCCATGTGATGTTCCATTGACACGCAGTTACAGGTAACATCGATTTTATATACTTACCTACGTTTCAGAGCCATTGATATGCACCGCCCACTGCGTTCTCACCTAGCGCTGCCACACAGCCTGCTTCACAGTCGTGCAGCCGCCATGCGGTGTCGCATTGATACGTAGCTTTAGGTAACATTGATTTCCATCATCACCTTGTCTTCACAGCGCCTGCTTTGTGTCGCCCATTGACCTACAACCTCACGCTGCCACAGAGACTCCTCCCAAGTACCGCTGGCGCCGTGCGACAAGACCATAAATCGCCGCCGCAGGTTACATTCCTTGTCCATCCTCATTTATCTTTTAGATTTCATGTTATGTACGTGCATCAGACGTATCCTATCATAGCACCTTGTCCGGTCTTCCCTCGCCTTCCAGTTACCACACTATTACCATTCCTTGGAGAACGGAGCAACGGCCCTTTTCAGGGCCACCCCCTGAATCCGTGTCTTGTCGTCCCACAGCCGAATGGAAGTATGCGAGCTACCGCTATCTCCTTGCGGCGGACTACAAGCTCACAGGTTCCGTGGGTGGCTCCGTAATCTTCAGATCACGTATGGGGGCATTCATACATGGACACGTGCTCGCAACCCCGCGACGCATGCGAACAAAATCGTCCTGCAAAAACAAACCGGTAAGTTAACCTTTCGCAGCCATTTTCAACCTGCAGCATGTCGTTGCATCCGTCCATTATTGCTAAATACTGTTTCTTTAGTGCTCTGACACTTAGCAAGGCTCACCTTCATGAGCCATCCCCTCCTACTGTAACGATATTTGATGAACCATTTTTCAGTATTCTCGCTTCGTGGGTGATGAGCGTTCCGAACGCTCCCCACTTACACGAGAATATTTGCATATGGTTTGAACGTCCCGTCTGCGCACTTGTCATATAATCAAACACCGCCTTAACAAGGGATTGCCTACTTCAGTACCATGTCAGGACCACTTCCAGAATATACCATTTAGATATGTTCATTTATTGATGTAGCCATGCAAATACGTCAGCATTTTGTGGGCAACAGCTTGCGCCGCACATTAACATCCCATGTATTACCTTGCGTTACCTTGCTATCCAAGACACTAAAGTATAGCCGTATATATCATTAGCGTTAACTATACCGACTATTCTGTTCCAGTTATTACACCCACAGACGTAGCAATTACGCAGCTTTTGCTGTTTGCTTTTCGGATCTATATTTCCCCCTCTTTCCATAACATCATCCATTAAGTAAGTCACCCTTAAGGACGCCATATTCATTGCTCCATACCCACTGCCTCTTGAACCCACTTTCTTGTACAGCACCTATTCCGCTCAGAAGTCACCGGATTTCGCAATCACATACCATCAAGCCATGCGAACTCCTTTTCCCTTGCGTGATTAAAGGCTATACCACATACCAAAGGTAAATGCGAACCAATAGATCATCCCATTTATATGTATATGTATATATCGCAATTGGTTATGCGATATACATTTGCGACTTTTAAATACATGTATTTGTATATATATATATATACATATATATATGTATACATATATATATGTATGTATACACATATATACTGATGCATATACACATACATATATTCATAAACCGCAAATGTTTATCGCGTAACCATTTGCGATATGTAATCACTTGATTAACATGCCAAATATAATTCGGGATATATTTCCCATCTACTATGTCACAGGTATAATGCAAACAGCATGCTTTAGTACAGAGACTAACACTGCATCCTTATATAACGTTCATTTTGGTTACGTTCGTTCTTATCAATCTTGTATACAATAGTCAATAACCCACGCATTTATACACACATGGGCCTTTCAGTGCAATATATATATATATATATATATATATATATATATATACAGTTCCTATTACGTATATGTATATATATGTATATATATATATACATAATTATACACATTATGCATCAGTATATACATATCGTTGTAACAGATATATATATGTATATATATAAATATATATATATATATATATGTATACATATCCATATATACATATTTGTGTACCAATATATTTACATATATACATAGGTATACATAAATATATTATTACACATATAGATACATATATATATATATATGTATATATATATATATTAATATAGACAGAGAGAGAGCTTTAAACCGCATTTACCATTATTACACATACACACTGCTTTATCTATCCATTAGCGAGGAATCTCTTCATCATATCCATTATACGGTTAACAAAGCCAAATGCAAGCTGCACTAGAAATCAATCCACGATTCCATAAGCCAGCTAGTCAACGCCGACTCCCCTATGTCTTGCAACATTAACCATACATTCTCCGAATGTATTCTTCTATGAAATACATGCCGAGGACTTACATAAACCATATTTTACATTCCGTTTCCTTTTTAACGCCTTACTTAATGTTATATTTCAACTTTTACACTTTTAGTCAACTTTGTAATTAAGCATGGTACAGATCCTATTTCGCATTTTTGGAGGTTTTGAACACCTTGGAAACACGTTGCGAAAGAAATTCCTCCATTAAAACGTTTACTTTTTCAGAACGCAGCAACAGGTTGTCCTCATGAACAACAGCCCGCATTCAAAATCGCGCCAGTGGCGGATGTGTCGGTCCCTAGATTCCCTGATAACACTTACCGGAAGCATGTTCCAGGGGTCGATAACTCGGCGTGGCTGCCCGGTAGTCGCAGACCTAGCAGGGTACTTTAAAGATGGTGATGTTTGTTGATTGGTCCGACGAGAGTGAAACAATTGACATCTAGACTCTGACATCCTAATCTAGTGTATCCTTAATATTGTGTTTTAGTGTGCTAAAAGGCTAACAACCGTTTGCCTTTGATTCGAATGCTTGGCAATACGGTTGCCCAAATGCTGTAAATTTGGTAAATTAATTTGACAAATAAATTTCCACACCTTATGTCCAATACTGTACAGTGAGCACATTGTAATGCTAAAAGTCAAAATCAGGTCGCCTGTTTTCATGGCTGCTGTATTTAACTAATTCGCAGTCTTGGAAGTCCGTTAAAAACATTGGATCTCCGCAACGTATACCGTAAGAGCTTTCTTATGTGACAAGCTTGTTGGCCCGAGCGTCCGTTAATAGTCCGTTGGTTATCTTTTATGCGTCTTCTCGGCGTCGTGTCTAGATATTGTTAGACTGTAGCGATTGTAAATAATTTGCTTATTTTGCATTTTCACGTTTACCTATTTCGCTGCAGTTGTTGTACAGCTTTGTTTTAATTAACTGTATATACACCCACTTGGTTACGAGCTCGCCTTCCGTGGTTCTTCCTTGGTTGCCGCTGGATTGTTGAGATTGTGCGCATCGCTGCATGCTTGGTTCACGATCGGACTCTACGTACACGTACATTTCGGCATACCTCGGGATTTACGGTCGTCCGAAGCTAAGGTGCATCAAGATACTTTATATGTGAGGTTCCTCCGTTTAATTGGTGACCCCGCATTTTTATTTATATTTTGTGTATATTTTTCTTTTTTTTCTACACAATGTCTGATCACGCGCCTGCGATTAATGCGTCGGAACATTCTCTTGGACTCGTTTTGCCTTCATTTGACGTTTCTAACCCACGTGTTTGGTTTGTTCAAGTGGAAGCTGTTTTCCGTTTTCGTAAGATTACATCCCAGTCCACAATGTTTTCATATGTAACTGCTCACTTACCGTCCAACATCGCCT